CCCGCCCGCCCCGGGACATGGACCCCCTTCTCCTGCTGCTCCTGCTGCTCCCCCGGCAGGCAGAGCCGGCCCCCGCTGCTCCCCTCAGCAAGGAGCTCTTCCCCATGCCCGCCAGCGTCTTGCGAGGTAAGAGCGGCCGGCAGCATTCTAGTCCTCATTGAGGCCAATCCGGGCTCTACGTTTAGAGCGTCTTCGGGACTAGCGCCCCCCAGGTGTCGTGGAGGCAATGTGAACCCTGTCCGGCCGAGGGACAAAGTGGCCTGGGTTGGCTTTTTTATAACAGAAACCAAAACGTTGTCTTTTTGTTTAATTTGTCGCATACCATTTTTAAAAGCAGTTATTGTTTAAATTGTATTAATATAAGTGTTTAAACCCAGCATTCATAACCCAGGAATTATAATTCTGCTAGACCAGTGTTTTCTCAGCCTTGCCAACTTGAAGATGGGTGGACTTCAACTCCCAGAATTGGCTGGTTGGGGGATTCTGGGAGTTGAAGTCCAACCATCTTCAAGTGGCCGAGGTTGAAAAACACTGGTCTAGAACACTGCATTTCTGCACCACAAAGTTGGAAACTTCATGGCATGATTGTAGGAGAAAGAAAAAGTCAGTGCTACCTGGAGGCTCAGTAAATTGGCTTTTGGGGGGAAGTGGGGAGACAAAAGTAACGCTGCATGTTGTGACCCTTTTCTTTGGCTCTGCGCCATGGCTGACCTTTTCCAGGCTCCGATACAGCATTGGAAAACTTTCCAGCTGTCTCATTGCACTAGCTCTATAATCTGTACGATGTTCCTGTGAGGTAGGCTAGGATATTGTCCCCGTTTGAGCTGATGGCAGGAAAGTCGTTTCTCTTGCAGAGAGCCATCAGGGAAGAGCATCTGTCGCGGTCTGGGAACCTCTCTGACACACCGCACGCTGTCTCCTCCCATGAGTTTTTTCCACCTCTCCCCACAGCGCTCTCCAGCCGGGGCACGTTGGTGCTGGAAGCTGCCATGAAGGCCGCCCTGCTCTCCCTGGAGGAGGCCCTGTCGGAACATAGCCGGCGTCTGCGAGAGTGCAAGGAATGCGGACTCTGCCTCCTTGGCGACTGTGGGAATCGGAGTAGGCTTTGCACCCGTAAGCTGCAACTTCCTTCCTTCCTTCCTTCCTTCCTTCCTTCCTTCCTTCCTTCCTTCCTTCCTTCCTTCCTTCCTTCCTTCCTTCCTTCCT